GGCCCAGGAGACGGGCAGCGGCGGGGTTTGCACCTGCCTTCGGGTCTTGTCCCCGCAGAACTGCAGGGGGGACTGGCCCAGCACAGCCTTCTTGGGGACCTCCTCTTCCAAAACGAGCCCGGTTCCGTGTTAATTGCTCCCATTTTCAGAGCAGCGCCCATTAATTCAGAGAAAAGATTCTCATAGACCCTGCATAGAGTTACACCAGCACTGTCACCCAGCTAGCAAACGTCCGGATGCCGATAAACCCTTGGTCTTGAAGTGTATGCTTAAAACGTAGTGATGTTCCCACTGCTCAGGCAGGCAGCACCCTCAGTATGAATGAGGTGGGGGTTTTCACACTTGACTCAGGCAGCTCTTTGCTGAGAGCTGTGTTTGTGCTAGCTGCAGAGGTCTTGCATGTTTGCTTAAAAAAAAAAGTGCATCTTTTGAGGCAGCTGTGATCTGGTGTGAGCACAAGCCTATCTGCAGACCCAGGGGATTCCTGACTGGCTGTGTGCTGCTGGGTACTTCATCTCTGGGACTGAGCTGCCCACTTGTGCATCCCCCAGCTGCATAACACTCTGGTACATGTTGCACTTTCCACCTATATAAGTGCCTGTTATCACTAGGTTGTGGGGAGGGGAGAATAGTATTTTTTTTTCATGCTCTTTTAGCTTGGAGACTAGCTGTTGTGACTCCCTTCAAACAGGTCCTCTGTAGGCTGAGCCTAGACAAGGCCACTTGTACCATAAAGAGCAAATGCTCTGGGGAAGTTGGGAGCATGTGGAACAAGCATAGAGGCTGGAGAGTTTATGATCTTCACTGCAGTGTTTCCTGGTGGCAAGCACTGTAACGTGTCCTTTGTCATGGCACTGACTCCCCTCCGTGCTTCACAAAGCAGCTGGGGATTCAGTTTTAGAAGGGAGTGTACCGCTGCCAAAAGGATCCAGCCCAGTCTAGGCAGATTTATTCGTTAGCCTTTGGACTCTTCACACCTGTTTCGCACATCTGAGCCCACATCTGCTCTGTCACCAGGACGCGTCAGCCTAAGTATTTTGCGTCTCTGCTGTTCCCAAGGTCTGAGCCTGTGTGGGTCCCATGGACTTCTTCCTTTCTTTCTCTCGTAGCCCAGGTGGGGAAGACATCGCTGATTATGGCTCTGGTGGGGGAGGAGTTCCCAGAAGAGGTGAGTGAAGGGCTGCTGCCTTTGCCATGCGTTGTCTAGTGCATCCTGGCCTCTCAGTGAAGAAAGCTGTCTCAGAGGGGGGCTGATACCAATAACAGAAAGCAATGCTGGGGTGATCTTGCTCATCCAGGGCAGAATAAGTCCGAGCCAACAAAATCTCTGCTATCTGCAGGAAGCATGCGAGGTGCAGGCTGCTCTGGTGTGTTGTCCTATTCAGCCTTTCGCCCTGAAATGCAGTCTATCCTGGCACTTTGTGTCTATTTGCTCTCCTGACAGAACACTGCCTTTGCCTCCTAGGAGCACAAAACTCCCTGCTCCGTTCTGTGACTCAGCTGCTGAAAATGGCTTCCTAGGGCAGCCCATTCTGCTCCAGCTTCAGCTTCTTTGCTGGAACATGTCCTCCCTAGCATGGAGCACTGCAGGCTGCTGTTGAACCCTCTGCCAGATCCCTGGAAGTGTCTAGGCTGCATTCTCTGCCTTTGTGTATTGGAGGAGGTGGGCCTGGAGCTTCAAGCTTTGGCCATGTATGTGGAGTGTGGCATCACCAGCTTGCTCGCTCATACTCTGGAGATCCCCGCAGCTCCAAGGTGTGGGTTCAGCAGCCTGCCTTCCCTGTAATTGGTCAGAAAGGGAAAATGCAGTTAGCCCAAATGTCTGTTTCCCCAGCACCACTGGCTGCTCTTGCCTGGGAGCAGATGGTATGAGTGTCCAACTTTCTCCCTCCTGTGTGATGCTTGCATTGTGCCAGCCTCAGCCTGCCCATTGCTGGGGGTAGTTCAGAATGTTCTCCTGCGTATGAAAAGCTTCTGCCAGGATGCTTGTGGGTCAGTGCTCAAAGATTTGAGGGCTGTGGAAGTGCTTTGGGACTCGGATTGACTTCCCAACACCCAGTTTCTCATGGCAGGAGAAGGAAGTATCTCCCCATTTGTGGGTTCACTATGAGTTTAGTGCTTTTCTGTGGTGCCATGGAGACATTACAACTTGGAGGGTATAGGCGGCTGTAGTCTAGGGCTTCTGGCAGGCCTAGTGCTGTGCTAGAATCAGCTGTGCCAAAGTCATCAACTGGCCTCTGCATCAGATCCACAGTGCAACTGCGAGTTGCTGTGGCCCTGAGTAAGCCTTCCTCTTCCTCCCAGCAAACAAACTAGCTGGGAAATAACACCCACTCTGTTCGTTTGGTTCTGGGCTGTGTTCTCCCAAACCTCTCTTTATTGATGGGTTCCATCTCTACTCTGGAGGGAGACGTCTGCTTCCAAGAATCTGTCTGTGGCCCCATGGGGGACACTTCATGTAGTCTCTGACTTCTTCAGGGCCTTTGGATGGCATAGTCCTGTGTTTCCCCCTCTTTGCTTTCAGCTTGGATCTGCTTCCCATCCCATCCCCATGTGCCTTCTGCTTTTGCAAGCCTGCACATGCATGTGCTGCCCTCCTGAGTGTGTCTGTCTGTTTTAAAGGTGCCCCCTCGTGCGGAAGAGATCACAATCCCAGCTGATGTCACGCCTGAGAAAGTCCCCACTCACATCGTGGACTACTCAGGTAGGCCCCTCTCCTGCACACTAATCCAGCTGCAGTCCTCTGGCTTTTCCTAGTCCTTCCCTCCACCTAGACCCAAGCTGTATACCCTGTAGAGCCCCCACAAGTGCTTCTCCAGTTTTGCCAGGAATAGCCAGCCCAGGAGACATGCGGAGAATCTAATGGCTCCAGAGGATGATGATGACAGCTGGGTGACCTGTCTGTTTCCCTTTCAGAATTGGAGCAGACAGAGGAGGAGCTGCAGGAAGAGATTGCAAAGGTGAGTGGGGCTGGGAGGTGAGCAGTGGGGTGGACGTTTGATGCTTTACCCCTGTGATTCCAGTGTGGCTGTGCTCAGAGATCTGCTCTAGGCTGTCTTGGGGATTAACCTCATCAATTGTGTTAGTTTGCAGGGTCCTCCTCTATCTTGTAAACTGTGGGTACAGTTTGTTCCTGGAGAGCCTCTTGATGGAGGAGGGGAGGAGCAGTTAGCCAGCTAGCAGGGGCACCAAGGAACAATGAGTTTCTTGACTGTGATGAATGGGGAGGCGGGGAGAAGGTCCCAAGCTCTGTCTGGGAGATCTTCCCTTTTGCTGACCTAGCTCCAAGTTTGTACTCCAATACGACAGGCCCAGAGGATTTCTGCTCTGAGTGAGAAGTCAGGAGAGGACTTATGGTGTGGTCACCAGGGCAGCTTTCCAGGGAGCTGTCTGCTGAGTCCTGTAGGATTGAGAGGGACCTGGCTGTTCTTCAAGATTAACCATCACTTTTGGCTGGGTGAGGGGGATTCCAGAGAATACAGCTAATAAAACTGGCTATTTCCTCAATCCTTGTTTAAACTAAGCCTCTGCTGTCTCCACCCCAGAGGTCCTCGGACATTTCACAAGGCTGAAGTGGCTCAGTGAGCCCTGCTTCCTCTCCCCTGACAGCAAGTATGTGTACAGAAGGCTTAAAAGGGTTTCATTAAATCCTGTCAAAAGCCTTGTGTGTCCCTGGGATTAGCAATGAACTCTCTCTGGAAAAGGCTGTCTCTCCCATCTGTTCTATTTAGACACGCTTCTATTTGTGCTATCTGAATAGAGGGTCACGGTCAGATTGGAGGAAGAGAGACTGATGAATGCATAGCAAGTGGATAAAAGGTCTGAGAGCACTTTGGGCAGGAAGGCCTGGGAAGCGAGTGGTGCAGTGCTTAGCCATGTGAAGTTCTGGGGGGTTGGCATCAGCCCCAGGTGGAGAAGGCACTCATTCCCTCTGAGCCTATAAGCCAGCTTTCAGGCTGCAGTCTGGTGTGGGTATGGATACCCGCTCACCTCCCCCTGTAGCCCCTGGAGGAGGTGGCTGCTCTGTGAAGGCAGTGGATGAAAGGGAGAGATCTATCCATGCCCACAACCCCAGCATCACAAAGCTGTCTGATTCCAGGGCCTGGGTAGAGCCTGTGGAGTCTTTTGCCCCCAGGTCATCAGGTCAGAAGCATCCTATGCTGACAGTGAGCATTACTAGCTGATGCCTGTTCCGACTCTTCAGCTCTCACTGAAACACTCAGTGAACAAGTTGCAAACTCCCCCATCCCAGCTAATGTTGACTGGCCTCTTTGGCAACCTAAGTAGAGGGAGCTCTTTGTCACATACACTCCCACCTTGCAGCTGACCCACTCTCCTGCCTCCTTGGATGAGCTGTATCCAGAGAGGAGTTGAAGCCCTTTGAGTGGGCAGTGTAGGGTATGCTGGCAGTGCCAGAGCCCAGGCAGGACTTCGTGAAGCGCCAGTCTGCAGCACTGTCATCTTCCTGTCTGTAGCACCAGAGTCACTCTGGATAGACATGGAGATCAAACAGCCCTGGGCTGCCACCAAGGGGGTCCTTAGTAGCTGGGGTTGCCCAGAGCCTCTGGGCTGTTCAGTTAAAAGCATTTGGCTATTCAAGGGCTTGCAAATGGCCAATGTGTTTATATATGGCCAGGTATCATGGTGCTGTGGGTGTGTCTGCCAGAGTGTCTGTTAGTACAAAATCTGTGTGGTCACCGGGTCTGCCTGGCTTCACTTGTTGACTGCTTGACAGTGGGCTTGTACTAGAGCCAAAGGGACCCTGTCCTTTCTGTGCAGAGAGGAGTCCAAGCTGTGGCCCATGCTGGCTGTCAGCTGGTTGCTGCCTCTTGCTTCCTGCCCCCAGATGTGCCAGCGTAGGGCTAACGGCCTCCTCCTGCTGTTCCTTCTTGCAGGCCAACGTGGTGTGCGTGGTGTATGATGTCACCAAAGAAGCCACAATTGAGAAGGTAACAGCCCAACTCTGCACTCATTACTCTCAGCCCGTGGTGCTGCATACAGCCTTGCTGTGGTCTGCTGCCTCTCCCTGTATGGTCTGCCACTTGTGGAGCCCCAAAGACTGCCCCATCCTACACGGGTGCTGCGCAGGCCTCACCCTGCTGGTTGAGGTTTTGGAGCTCTTTAAGAGCAGCAATTTCCTGCTAAAGCCATTAGCAAGCAATGTAGACTCCGCATATTCAAAGGGAATACGCCACCAATGCCAGGTCCATCCAGCCCACATTCTTCTTCATCAGTGGCAAACCCGTGCATCCTGAACCCACTTTGGATTTCCTCCACCTAATCAGAGACAGGCTCATTCCTGCCCACTCCAGGTGGAGCCCAGCCTGGCTGTGGCCATTCTTGCCCTATAAAATGGCTCCCACCCTCTAGATCACAGCCTGCATCCCTTCACTGGTGTCCAGCCTTTTACAGATGATCTGATGATCTGTGCTTGGGCTTGCAGCAGAGCAGATGGGCTGTAGCAATAAGCCAGCTGCATTGCCATAAACCCCTGCTAGCAACTGGTTAGTGTGCAGATTGCATCCCAGTTGTGCCAGGACCCACTTCCTCAGCCCCTTGCAGCTGTCACTGATCTGGTTTAAGAGGATTTTTTTTATTTTTTGCTTTTCAGATTCGGACAAAGTGGATTCCTCTGGTGAATGGGGGAGTTGAAAAGGGCTCCAGGTACTGTACCCAATGTCACCTGGGTGGAGCCTAGTTGGAAAGAGGGAGTGTTAGTAGCCTAAAGGACTGGCTCTGTGCCCCTGCTTTCTTTGTTCTGTCTGTGGCTGTGTGCACGGGCACTGGACTCAAGTCTGCCACTTGCTGAGGAACTGGGGGATTCCCCAGGGCAAGTATTTTGGTGCTTCCTTCGGAGCTGCCTCCTCTGAGGTTCCTGAGAGCTGCAGTCAGAAGCATCTCTATAACATATGTCCCAGGTGGCCCTGCTAAGGTCTTCTCCTACTTGGGTCTTGCTGGCTCCCGAAAAGGAGGATCAGCTGCTAACAGTCCTCCCCTCCAGTCCTGCACGTGCTAGGTAGGCATGACATTGCATTGCTGAGTTAGGGCAGGACTGTGGAGGCCATAAGCATGCATTGCTCAGGGGTAAGGCCCTCTCAGTGTGCTGTTTAAAAGGTCCCTGGGTGCATCCCAGCTGTCTGGTAAGGATCAGACAGGCTGACTTGCTGCTGGTGTTGCAACTGTAGTCATGGTGGCTGGCAGTGGGAGAGCAGTCACTGTGCCAGCTGAGCATGGAGGCTGAATGCCCTTCCAGCCAGTTGCCCATTAAGCATGTGTGGAATGTTACTGGTCAGGGGAGCAGTTGCATCAGTCATTGCTCTCCGTGATGGCCTTTCTTCTCTTTGCCAGGATCCCAATCATCCTAGTGGGGAACAAGTCTGACCTGCAGCCTGGGAGCTCCATGGAGATCATTCTGCCCATCATGAACCAGTTTTCAGAGATAGAGACCTGTGTGGAGGTGGGAAATCAGCAAGGGTGTTTACATTCATGGTGGTCAGTGGAAGGAGTGGGGGCAGATCCCTCCCCAGAAATCTCTACTGATTATCCAGGAGGTTTCTTTCCTGCTTTCATGTGCTGTCTCCATAGCAACGAAGAAGAATATTCTTTGCCCTGATTCAGCTGTGCCCTCCCAACTCTGATCCCTGGAAGCACCACCCGTGTTTCCTGGGCTCTGGGGAATTCCTCTACCTTCCTACAGTGCTGGGCCCTCTTGGTGGACACCACTGCCCCCTACAGCAAGGAGGGTTTAGTCTCTTGGCCTCCATCGCTGGTCCCAGAGGAGCACGTGGAAGGGATGTGCTTTCTACCCTGGAACTTCATCAGAATTCTCAGCAGCTTCAGGGTGTGTGCAGTAGACCCAGTAACACCAGCACAGGAATGGGGAGTTTCCCTTCTCAGTTTGTTTCCTAGTCACTGTCACTGACTTGACTCCATGCTTTGATCCAGTACCTGCCTGGAGCAGCTCCCTGTGATCTCAGCTCCTGTCTTCCCTAGGAGCCTTCATGCTCTCACAGCCCCTTTCTCTGTCATTGCACTAGTGTTCTGCCAGGAACTTGAAGAACATCTCTGAGCTGTTCTTCTATGCCCAGAAAGCTGTGCTGCACCCAACCGCCCCCTTGTATGATCCAGAGGAGAAACAGGTAAGAGAAGCTGTCCATCCCACCCCACCCCCAGTCCACCTCACTCTTGTTGGGGGAGGAGCAGGGGTTCTCCCTTCCCAACAGCCTCTCTAGATACAGCCCCCAGCAGCTGAATCCTCTCAAATGTTTGAGAGGATCATAAACCCTTGTGTTCTTAAGTGCCACCTGTCTCTCCTTATTCTTGAGTTGCCAGTCACTAAGCCAGTCCTGACAGTTGGCAGAGCTAGCCAGTTTGTCAGCCGCTGCTCCCCACTGCTGAACAAAGAGCTCTTTTCCTCGCCCTGAATCCAAAGTCCTTCTCCTGCCTGGCAGTGTCAAAGTACGTTGATATGTTAGATTGCCAAGTGGTATGGGGTGAGGTAAGAGGTTTGGGGATGTCTGGTGCAGAGACAAACTGCCTCATCCTGGGGCACAAGCACAAAGGGACGTTCAGTGCTGTGGACGGAGAGCAAATTGGAGATCAGAAAAAGAAATGCTTCCATAAGTGTAGCTAGCCAGTGGAGCTCCTAGTCCCTGGATGTCATGCAGCTTCACAGGGCTTTGGAACTTACTAGGCATCCTTGCGAACAGTCTCATTCTTTACCTTTTCATGCTGCAAATATAAGTTAGGCCCTTGTTCTTGAGGGCATAAGCAGGTGGGGAATGACAGGCTTAGAAAGAGATTTGCCTTGCAGGTTGACGGTTGCTGGCCCCTTACACCTACATCTAGAGAGCTGGTGCTGGCTGCCTGGACTAGTTTGTTCTGTGCCCTGGGCCAAGAATGCCTCTGAATGCAGGGCGGGGCAGGGTGCAGGCAGGCAGGGGTCCAGGAGCGTCACTCTGACAGCCTTTTTCCCCAACACATGTCACTTGTTACTCCCACAGCTGAGACTGGTGTGTGCACGAGCGCTCACACGAATATTCAACATCTCAGACCAGGATAATAACCAGATCCTTAGTGACGATGAGCTCAACTGCTTTCAGGTATGGTCAGCTCCAGACATGGGCTTTGCTGTTCTGGCCTGTCATATATTCCCATGGTCACTAATGGTTTCCTCTGCAGAAGGAGTCACCTCCCGCCTACCTGTTTTCAGCAGCTGTGCATCCCTTCTCCTGGCTTCTCTAACTCCTCTGGTTCCTGTTTCCTTCTAACACCAGGAGAAACAGCAAATTCTTTGTGTGGCCCACAGAAACCTATTTGAACTTATCTTCCTGTGGGATCAAAGTTAGAGCAGTTAGGATGCATTTTCTAGTACTGAAAGCTATTCATCTGTCTGCAGACAAGTCTCAGGCATGCCACCTGCAGTCTTGGTAGCATTTGCTCTATGACAGGAGAAGCAGGTAATCCCTAGAGAGCCAGGAAGATTCCTGCTGCATGGCCAAGCTGAGGAACTGGGGGAGTTTTATCAGGAATGAGGCAGGATTGGCAGCCCATGAGGTGAATGGATTGTACTTTTCAAGAGGGCACTACTGTCCTCTGGAGGTGAGAGCTTACAGTATGCAAGGAGCACAAGAATCAGGTTGTGAGAGCTTTGCAGGGGTGAGCTGGACAGGGAATGGAGTAAAACTAGGTGGCTCTGGAGAGAGCGGGAGGGGAGAGGGGAAGGTTGTAATTTGCCACTGGGGTTCCCTGACCAGACCCTTGTCTCTTGGGAGGTAGAAGTCCTGCTTTGGGAACCCCCTGGCTCCCCAGGCCTTGGAAGACGTGAAGATGGTTGTGTGGAAGAACACTACAGATGGGGTACAGGACAACGGCCTGACATTAAATGGTAACTGAAGCAGAGAACTTTTTGCTAGTATCACTGTTCCCTCCAGAATGATGCTACTGGGCTCTAGCATGTGGGAGACAAACTGCCCTGGACAGAGAAGTGCGGCAGCTCTCCATCAACACCTGGTGTGGGCTGTGCCCTTCTGTGCTCTGCACAGACTGTACTTGAAAACCTAACTGGGCCATCCTTGCATGAGTTTGCCCTTGACATGGTGCCCTAAACCCTCCTGCTTCCCTGCAGGCTCTCTGATGGGGCTGAGCAAATCCTACTGTTCCATGCTTGTGTTGCCAGTGCTATTCCATGAATGTCTGCCTCGTTTTCTTCCTGCAGGCTTCCTCTTCCTGAACACGCTCTTCATCCAGAGGGGACGGCACGAGACCACATGGACCATCCTGCGACGCTTTGGCTATGATGATGAGCTGGAGCTGATGGATGACTATCTCTACCCACAGTGAGTATCTGGCCCTTCCAGGTGCAGTCTGGTGTTTGGTGCCCCCCTGAGCTGTCCAAGTGATCCTTGTTTGAGAGCCTCCATGTTCTTCTCAGAGGCAGCTGACTCCTCCAGAAGGGTCACCAAGCAGTGAAGCTTCCTTCCTATATATCTGTATAGCTTCTTCCCCCTCAGCCTGCAGAAACAGGGGTTGGTGTCCATCCCAGGCACAGCCCAGGGCATGCAGTCTGGTTCTTTGACACAAGCATGTTCATGCTTCTCATCCCAGCACTTGTCCACACAAAGCAAGACAGGATCGGAGGGCTTTTTGGCAGATGAATGCAACCAGCACAGCTGCCTTGGCACTGTATTTTCTGCTGCTGGCTATGCTGCAGGCAGCGTGGGGGGCAAACAGGGACATGCCTGCGATTCTCCCTTGAAATCAACTAGGGGCGTTCCCCCTCCCTCCAACACTGTGGAACAATAAACTGTCAGCTTGGCATTCTGCTAGGATGCTGCATCTGCAGCCTTCTCTCTGATCCTGACACGCCCCCAGAGGTGCCGTTCCAGCTCTAATGAAAGGGTTCAAATTGTGAGCTAGAGAATCCTATAGCCAAAACAGGGTTCCTGGAGATATAATAGGGTTCATGCTGTCAGGAAAGAAACTACTGTAACAAAAGCCCCATTGCATTGCCTGTTGCTGGATTGCTGGTGCTTTGAGCTCCAGGCTCAGTGAAAATAGCTCAGCAGGGGCTGTAGCAGTTTCAGTCCTTACATGAGCTTCACAGGGATCCAAAAGCTGTGTGTCCCCTGTGAGTCTGGGCACCCAAGCATCTCCAGCTGAGAAGTGCGTTGCCAGCTAGCTGGGAACTCAAGGACTACACTGGACTTCACTGATTCCAGCCAGGCCACTGGGATTGAAATGAGGGCATTGCAAGCGGGGACTGTAGCCTCTGTATGAAAGAGCCCCATGGGTTGTGTTCTGTCCTACCCTGCTGTCTTTGCTTGGGAAATCGGCACCAGCTCCCCTCGTATGCCCAGGTGGCCATTCAACATGAGAGGAAATTCAGCGAAGATGCAACTGTTCGTTGGAATGGGTTGGCTTTTTTCAGACCATGTGTGAGTGCAGCAAGTACCATTCTGGGGTGGGGCAGAGTCTCCCTTCTGGACTGGTTTGTGCTATAGCCAGATTGGGGCAGTCCTTAGATGAGGTAGAGGGACTGTGCAGTGGTTCCTGCACTCCTACCCCAGTCCCCATGTTCAGCAGGGGGAAACCAGAGAGCAGAATTACCAGCCTGGGAATTAGAGTGTCCATGTGTGGCTTGTCAACCGGTGGTGCCAACTTGTTCCCTCTACCTCCCTGCAGGTTCCGGGTGCCCCATGACTGTTCCACTGAGCTGAATCACTTTGGCTACCAGTTCCTTCAGCGGATGTTTGAGAAGCACGACAAGGTGAGTGGCATCTGACAGGGCACGGGGAGGCCGGGTCATTGTTGGGATATAGTCCCTCTGGGAATGCTTTCATGCTGTAGCACAGACCCAGCTGCTCCAGCATCCTTGGACACAGCTGCATAAATGCAGCTGCTCCCGCACACAGTCACATCTGTTTCCTCTGTCCTTGCACTCTCCTTCCTTGAGGCAGTTGGGGGAAGCCAGCTAAGGGCTTTCCTCTTCTGCACAGTACATTCTCACAGCTTCGCGCTTGACACTGCAGGATTCAGAGGATATTTTTGCAACTCACCATATCTGCAAATGAAAGTGATCTCTGCAAAACCCAGCTGACACCCAACACGGCACCCTGCTGAAGTGTCCTGTCAGGAGCATGGAATCCCAGTGCTCTGATCACTTGAAGCTTGATTAGGCTTTTAGGGGGTAACCAGTAGAGTCTGAGCTCTGTGGTGGCTGGGCCTGGGTTGTCTGTCAGGCTGTTTCTTTCTGTACAGCCATAACTTGCCCCGATAGTGTGATAAAGGGAAGGCGGGGGTTGGGGGAAGGGGGTGGGCAAGAGAGACCCACCCTGGCAGCTGACCCATAGCTTCAGAGCAATTATAGATGACCACATACTTGACAGCCTTTGATAGCACGGAGTCCACCGATGGGAGGAGAAAGCAATTGACTGCCTTTTCCCAGCTCTTCCGAGAATGAGAAGGGAGAGATTGCCTGAGCTTCATGCAGCTCCTCCATGTGGCTTTGCAAGCCACCCTGGTATCACAGTGATGAGTGTGACATTGGGACCCAAGTCGTCGTGTGCTCTGGAGCAAAGCAAAGCTCTGGTCTTTAGTGTGGCAAACTCATAATGCTGCTGCAGTTCCCTTCACATTGAGTTCAGTGTGAAGGCAAACAACTGTAAGTGCAGTGCTCCCCAGGCTCTTGATTCAGGGGTTAAATTCCACATATTTCACACTGCCCTTGCACTTCCCCACAAAAGCTAACAGCTGACTGATTGGCGGGTAGCCCCTGGGAAAGTGGAGAAAGCACTGTGGGATGGCAGGAAAGCGCATGTGAAAGGATTTAGCAGTGAAATCAGAGCTCTTGAAACGACTGTCTTTCAACTTCCACCGACTGTCTTTCAACTTCCACCATCTTTCAGCTTCAGGGTTAGCACCCCATTGTGATGAATAGGGTTGGGTTCTCATGATGTAGCATCTTGGTTCAGGCTCTGCAGACTGTAAAAGACACAGTAGCCTTGTTTATAGCTGGTTGGTGTTTTCAAGGTCTCTTTGCAACTACAACATTTTTAAACGACAGCTTAAATTCTGCAGCGTAATTCTGCAGCAGTGAGTAGCTTCTGCAGCAAAGGATGTGGCCACAGGATCAGAGTATATGGGACCCAGAGGCCCAGATAAATAACTGTCCTAATTATCCTGTGTGTGCGTGTGTGTGTGCATGTGCGTGTGCTTCCCTCACAAACCCTCCCTTTTCATTGCCAGGACCGGGATGGAGCACTCTCACCTGCAGAACTGCAGAGTTTCTTCAGTGTCTTCCCCTATGTGCCCTGGGGGCGTGAACTCTACAACACGGTATGCACCACTGATAAAGGCCTGCTTTCCCTGCATGGATTCCTCTGCCAGTGGACGTAAGCGCAGTCCCTCTCCACCCCCCGCCCCTTACACCAGTTCACATTGCACTTCCTAGGCTCTGTTAGGGTTTCTTATAACTGGTGACATCTTCCTTGCTTGCACCCGCAGGCTGGTGGCCTATCTGGATGTCCATCACTGTCTGGAGTACCTCGGTTACCTGGGTTATCCCATCCTCTCTGACCAGGACTCTCAGACACACGCCATCACAGGTACATCATCCCTCCAGAGCTTCCCATCATTGCCTTGGGTATCCACCCTACTGCTCGGTGGCTAACTCCAGCTTCTCTCCTTCCCCTACTCCAGTTACCCGGGAGAAGAGAATTGACCTGGAGAAGGGCCAGACCCAGAGGAATGTCTTCCTCTGTAAGGTGATTGGCCCCAGAGGCACGGGCAAGTCTGCATTTCTACAGGCCTTTCTGGGGAGAAACCTGCCTGTGAGTATACATGCACTGCTTGTCTCCAGCATGTAGTAGGCAGGGGCTGGGACCCTCAGCCTGCTGAAGATGGAAGAAAATTGAATAGGCCATCTGTTTGATCTCAGTGCTCGGTGCATGTTTGTTCAGTGCAATACATTCCCTACTACTCAGCTCTTAAGTTGTCTAAATAATGGAACTTCCACCACTGTCTTTGAACACAAAATATAGGAGGGCAACCAGTTCCTTCTATTTGCTTTTCCCTATGCCAGTAGGCCTACCTGCCTGAGGCTCTGGAGGAAGAGCCCCTTCTTGGGGTGGATGGATGGGGAAGCAGCTAAACTTTTTGTTGGTGTGACTGAGTTTATAATTGCTTCTAGTATTGTCAGTGAATTTAGGTGTCCTCCTTGTCTTCGGGGCAGCATCATGTTCTGACAGCCCAGGGGACCTGGATCTATGTCCATGTGTTAGTTTTGCCTCCATTACCAGGTTGCTGTTGTGCTGGCAAGCTGCCAGTAGACTTAAACATTGTACCTCTGGGTGTGCTTTCCTTCTAATGTCTGCGTTGCTGTTTTCCCCTTGGTGCAGACACAGATGGAGTCCCCAGGAGATCTGTCCTTCCATGCCATCAACACAGTACAAGTCAACAGCCAGGAGAAGTATTTAATTGTAAGTCCTGTGCAGCAGAACACTGGGGCTGGGCTTTGGGGTGAAATAGCTGCCTCTCCTGCCCAGGGGAGAGCACGGAGGGGATTTCTGTGGTTGTGCTGAGAGGGGAAATCTGCAGCCTGATTCCCGGTCTTCTGCCATAGTCACTAATCACAGAAACCTCTGGGACATCTGCTTTGGCACCTTACTTCACACACTATTCCCATGCCTGCTTTTGTGGTGGGTACAACCTGTGCATCAATATGAGGAGCCCCACATCTTCTAGATCCTCTGAGATCTCACTAGGTGCGCCCTGGGCTGTCTGCTTTCATGTTACTTTCCCTCTCGTTTCCTGTAATACAGTTATATGAGATCGACGTGGACACAGAGTTCATGAAAGCATCCGATGCAGCCTGTGATGTTGCCTGCTTAATGTACAATGTGAACGACCCCAAATCTTTCAACTACTGTGCCAGCATTTATAAGGTAAGTGGCATGACCCTGCGTGACTCCAACCACATCCTCCCCTGAGCTGCAGCCATGATTCCCTGAAGCAAATCCACACCTTAGTAAAAGGTCCAGGACATAACTTGCCAGGTGGAGAGGGTTGAGGTTGATGAGGGTTAGTTAACATCTTGACAACTAAGCTGTCAGTCTAGCCCAGCCATCTTGTAGCAGAAGTCCCTTGCAGCAGAAGTTCCTTGCTGACCTGCAAGGTGATCTTTCCTTTGCTTAGTGCCTGTGTTACATTACTCTGGCCTCATCCCAGCTCTGAATTCTCCCTGTGTAGCAGTAATGATCACCAGGGATCCTGGATTTCTCTATTTAAAAAATGCAAAATTCTGTGATAAAAAATAAAATCTCTGAGGGGGGGCGGGGGTTGTGTGTGTGTGTGTGTAGATATAGATATCTAGAAGTAGATATAGATATTGAGAGAGAGCGGTGTCATTTGAACACAACATTTTATTGATATATTTACAATTTTAAAGCAACTTGGAACCCTACCAGTGCCTCAATCATTATAATAGAATCAATTCTAAAAAAACCTATATATTTTGGCATTTGATTTTGGTTTTTTTATCATGGAAAATCAGAGCTCCCCCTGCCCCCTTGGCTCACCAGGATGGAGGTTCAGCTGTGGCTGTGCCGCCACCGCTTCATGGAGCTGAGCAGCCCTGATATGATAGTGCCCTGCCCCTGCCTGTGCCAGTGCCCCCACTGCCAACCTTCAGCCCCTTGGCCTTCCCAGTGCCCCTCGCTCACAAACCCAACAGTCCCCCACCCCTCCAGCCCTGCTGGTGCCCTCTTACTGTTGACCTACAGACCCCCTGCTCCCAGCCCTACTGGTGCCCCTCAGTCCCAATCTGCTTCCCCCTGCCTCTAAGCTTCAGCCCAGTGTGTGGGGGAGGGAGTGACGCATCAGAGGAGCATGGGGGGGAGGGGGGACACATGTCCCCCCAGTTTTCTGCACCCACAGTGTGGTATGGGGCTGCAGCCTGGCTAGACCAGCCCAGTGTGTGGAACCCAGCACAGGAAGGAGTGCCATACCTCCATGGCCACCAAGATGAGGCACCCCCTATCCACCTGGCAGTTGTGAGGGGCACAACTCCACACCGTTGCCATTGTGCCTTACCTTAGTGGCCATAATGGCAGGGCTCCCAGTGGCAGCAGCATGGGGTGTGCCCCCCAGTGGTGCTAGGCAGGCAGGGGGCACCTCACCATGGTGGCTCCCACACTGGGTCCTGCCTCCTGTGCCCTATCTGCGGCTCCTGCCTGGTGCTGGTCCAGCCAAGCTGCAGCCTCATGCCCTGCTTTGGGTGCAGAAATGTGGGGGCACATATGCCCCCCCATGCCCCTCCCCATGCATCATCAGTAGGCCCAACCCCTACCCATGAGTGCAGAGAGCCACCTGTGGTTCTGTCCCACTCCCTGGTCAGACTCTGCGGCCACATATCCCCACCTTCTCCAGCCCCAGGCATCACGCATTACCCCAGCTGGGCAGCGCCCCCCAGCCACCATCTGCCAACCCTGTCCTACTCTGCCCCTCACTGCACAAGCACAGCATGAGCCACCACCTCAATTTCCCCATGCATCACCTCTGCCCCTGCCCCCATAGAGTTAGCTGGAGGGAGCTGCTCTCCACCACACTGCCTAGCTGTCATGTGTATGTTTACGCGTGCACATACACATGGCGTCCTCTGCCCTCTGCGTCCTGCTTCCCCCAGCTCCAAACTGCCCCTTGCACGTGGACCTTTGCCAGCCTGCAAAGGGAAACCAGGTTTCCCAGATTTTTCTCCTTTAAAGGGGAGCATCTGTATTTTTCTGTGAGAAACAGAAAACCCAGATCCCTGATGATCACTTACCTGTGTCTCCCCATTGCACCCTTTGTTATTCTCCCATGCAGCAACACTACATGGATGGACAGATTCCCTGCGTCTTTGTAGCCTCTAAATCAGACCTTCCAGAAGTGACTCAGCAGCATGGACTCTCACCAGCTGAGTTTTGCTACAAGCATCGCCTCCCACCACCATTCTACTTCACCTGCTGCACCCAAGACCCACCCAGCACCACTGTCTACAGCAAACTGGCCATGGCTGCCACTTTCCCGTTAGTAATAATCTCTCTGAACACAGAAACCTCTGCCACGGGCATAATGCTGGGTTGGGGACTTGGGCTGGGTCTGAGGGGCTGTGTCTGTAAACGTTATCAGTCAACACAGGAGGTGGAGCAGGAGCTTAGATGATGAATGGGAGCATTTTCCATCCGCAGGGCACTTCTCATGCATTGGCTCATTCAAACTTTAGAGGCTTTTCTGTGCCTCTTATGCTACAAGATCTGAACATTTAACTCATACCTGTTAGCTCATTTTTCTAGCGTGCTTATGAGGTTGGGAAGTGTTAGCAGCCCTGTCTCAGGGCAAGAGCTGTCCTCACAGGTGGCTGCAACCACAGGGCTGGCTATCCTCTCCTACAAAGTGCAGTTAGCTTCTGCAGAGAAACTGTATCAAACCAGCTTTCTTGCTCAGTTGCTGCCACCTTGAGTGTCTTGCTTGTGTATAATTGAATGAAGAGTCTGTCACTTTTAGTTCAGACCTGGGAGAGGACCCAAAGTTCAGTTCCACTTTGTGCTTCAGCAACAGAATCATTAAGAAAGTTCCCAGCACCAAATACTTATTATTGATGCATGAGCTGAAATAAAGCCTACATGAGCATCCAATCCTGAGCTTGCAAGCATGGCTAGGGGAGAAACATCTCTGATTTTTTCCCCCTGAAATTGATGATCAGAGTGGTAAGGAAGTCAACAAGACTGAGTCTCACAAGGCCATTTGTGAGGAGTCCCATCTGGAGTAGAACTTTGGTTCAGGTAGGTCACGGAGGCCCCTGGCAAACATTCATATAAAGGCCTGGTGGGATCTGATTCATGTTCCCAACAACTGTACCTCCATCCAGGCTTACAAGTACACGGCAGGGGGCATAGTGGTGGGATCAGGGATTAGATCCCAACTGCACCATATTGCCAGTGCAGAGGGAGCCCAGGATCGTTATCCTGTGCTCCCCTTGCTCTGGCAGGTTACAAGCCAGTCGTCTGATTTCTAGCCTCTAGAGTTTACCAGAGCCTTTGGCTCTGCTGTTCCCCACAGGCTGGGAGCCTTGATCAGCTGTGGAGATCATGCTCTTGGTTTATAAAAGCTTTGACTGGCTCTAAGTTGAGGACAGAATATAAAAGGAGGATAAAGGGCCTGGAAGGGAACAGCACACATCATCACCAGCCTCCATCATCACTTGCAGGAAACTCTTGGCACCTCAAGAGATCAGACTATCATGGAACCAACCTATTCCTTCCCCACCAAATCCATTTCTGACACAGATAGAATGGACACAGCCTTTGCCTTTACACTTGGCTACATGAGCAGTGTAAGGTGCAATGGGAACCACTCACAGTATTTTGTGTAATAATTTTACAGTTTATTCCTTGTTTCATTTTGCCATTAGTTGCACAAATGTGTGACAGGGTGACTAAAGACGTGATTAAATGGTTAATCATTTTTAAGTGTAATGTCTGCTAGCAGACATAGGCAGGCAGGTTAAGGCTTAAAATTTAGATTTGGTATAGGAAATGCCTGGACCCAGCTGCCTGTTTAGACCATACTAGCACCAGTAGTATGGAGGGAGGATCATTCTGCCTAAGTGCATGGAGTGAGGTGCAGGCAAAAAACACCTTTGATTATTAAAACCAGAAGAACCTTAGGCAGCTAAGAGACTTTTTCAGTTAAGAATTATTTTCTTTAGTCTCCCTTTTTAGTGCTTTTGGACCCTTTCCTCTCCCCTCCCCATGGGAATAACTTTTAAATATTCCTAATACATCCAGGAAATGTGATATACATAAATAAAATGTGTAATGGAGGCCCTGGGATAGGTTGTTCTCTTCTGATTTGGCTTTATATGAATAATGTATGTTCTCTCCTCCTGGGACTGGAGTTTATAGGTCTCTATAATGCAGGGTTGTTAAGGAAACTGCTCACATGGGGAAGCTTGGTCCCATCAACTAGTTCAGTTCCCAGTCCTCTCTTAATGCTTTCCAGTAACCCCATCTTCTCAGGAGCTGTCTGATTTTTTTCTTAATGTATGAAGATATCAATGCAGCTTGACCTAGAAAGGCAGAGGCGTAACTCCTTGTTCGTACCAATTATTTAACTGTTGTTGTACTATTTATTCCTTCCCTGAGAACAAGTATAAAAGCAAAGGCTGTGTCCATTCTATCTGTCAGAAATGGATTTGGTGGGGAAAGAATAGGTTGGTTGCATGGTTGTAGTGCCAAGAGTTTCCTGCAAGTGATGATGGAGGCTGGTGATGATGTGTGCTGTTCCCTTCCAGGCCCTTTATCCTCCTTCTATATTCTGTCCTCAACTTAGAGCCAGTCAAAGCTTTTAAAAACCAAGAGCACGATCCCCACATTCCCTTTCCTGATCCAGCCAGAGAGCAGGGCAAAATTGTCACAATTTTCCTATACCACCAAACTAGGTGCATGCTGCTTTTCAGCTTCTCTGCTCTGCTGCTGGGATCAAGCAAACTGGAGACAAAACAGGCTGGCCTTACAGAAACACTGGGCCTTGGCTGTCAGCTACAAACAGAAGAGACCTGGCTGTGGTTTTCTATTTGCTGTTTCTGTCTGGTGCACCGTGATCTGCACCATCTCCAGCATTGCCAATGACAATCCTCCTGGCCCAAGAGCTGCCTAGGAGAGTTTGTTTCTGGCCCAAGGTGCATCGTTTGCCAGGAATGTCTTTAGGGCTTTGTACAGTTGGCTGAATGGCCTCTTACCTGTTTTCTTGCAGGCACCTGAATGATAGTGAGCTGGGAGCAGCTTCCTTCTGGCTCCGGGTTGCCTTGGGAGCCACTATGACCGCCCTGGTAGGATTCACGCTTTACAAAGTGCTGGTGAAGAGCAAATAAGGAAGAGGTGGACTGGGCCCTTCACCCTTGCCTAACCCAAATACCAGCTTCCGTGCCCGAGAACAAATATGCCCAGGGTAAAGTGATCAAACT